GCCTTTTTGTAAAGAGAAAGAAATATCTAACTCGTATCAATGTTGGGGAAAGATAACTACACAAACAAAAGTATTTTGTAATGGACCTCGATACAGATATGAAATCGAATAAAGCAATCTTGCACTTTTTTCTCGATTCCTTTGACTTCGTTTTCGTGCGTCCTTTTTTTATTTTTCTCTATCTGTTGTGTTATCGAGAGAGCTTTTTACCTCTCTTGGTCGTCTCGGCTTACAGGTGACCAATTAATGTTCAATATCCTATCTTTAGATAATGAGTTTTACTACTTTTGGCGCCAGACTTCATTATGTAGTGCTAACGGCTTTCTTAAAATACGTACTGACAGCCTACGCGTGCTATCAATCTTTTTGTTTCCTTTTTAGATGACAGGCTCTAATAGAAACTACATAGAGTTGCCATTTTTCTCTCAGATAACACGACAAAGTTGTCAATGAAGCTTTCGAGGAATGACAAATCTTTTAAAACCGAATGTCCGTTGTTCAAATAGGAAGATTAATTGCGTGCAATCCATCAAAAGCTGTGTCTTCTATGACCTGCAGGACTTCAGTTTAAATTAAATCGATATTTACTTCTCCGAGGCTGGGGCGCGAACATCTCGGATCACGATTCAGAAAGTGAGGAGAAAACGCTCTTTAAAAAAGTGGTACATGAAAAAGTCACGCGTTAATTAGGCGCTTTGTATTACCGCGAAACGCGTAAACCAACATTTCAACTGTTGGGAGAGCAGTTCGTCTCTTGTTCATGGATTTCAATGAGCTCATGGTTTCAGTTTCCAGCCCCCTTTGTTTGAAAGGACGATAACAGCCTTGGCAAATCGACACAGCTGTAAGTGTACAGGACAAGACTCACAATAATGCTGTCACAGACTAGACTTTTCGTTCGGGTCTCGACATTGAGAGAATCAGAATTTGCTAAATTTGCACAAAAATTTAACCTAAAAAAGGACAACAACAACAACAACAAAAAATAAAACGAATCACCGTAATTGAACTGAAAGAAAATATTCGTTCAGGTAGATTTACAACCATTGTTAAGAAATTCAAATCATCTGGTAAGGACTCGACCAGAATACAGTTAGTTACAACTGGGCTTTAAAAAGTGAAAAACTGAATCTAGTGCCTGTGATTTCTATGATAACTCGGATGACGACGAACACTGTCACAAAATTATCAGTGTTTCGTTTTGGGAATACAAGAATTTTTGAGATTTCCATTTCCTTTCTCCAATGTAAACTGTCTTTATTTGTGGCGGTAAATCTGAAATCGAAGTAGGTGGTTCGCACGTTACATCATTGCCACCATGCTGGTGAAGTAAACATCTCATCAGCTCATTATGTTCGTCTACCAGGCACCTAAGGGACCTCTCTTTTTATAGCGCGCCCTCGTGTTTAAAACTTATTCCAAATGCAGGCCTGGTGACATGCCTGACTCGAACGGCTTCTTGATTGCAGAGCGGTAATTCTTAATGAACGAAAAAATGAACGCCTTTCTTTTGTAAACAAAGCTCAAAATTAAACTCAAAAAATTAGAAACTGGTTTGAAGCCTCCAGGCCTTAGTGCGATGAACATTGAATGTAAAAAGTTATTGACGTTAGAAGTGATGACGTCACAGTTGCTTAACATACATGCAGAAAATTGGTTTGTGTAGTAAGGGACACAGCGACCAATAAGAACAAAGGATTTCATTATCATTAGCCAATTACAACTTAAAGTGAAACTAAACAAATTGCTTGAAGCGCGGGAAAACGTGACTGACCTGGTCGCGATTGTTTTCTTTACTCTTGCATCTGATTGGTTGAGAGGATGGCGCGAATTTTCCGAACCAATGGCAGAGCAGAGTTGAGTACAAACCGAAACAATCCTCGGTTTCTCTGGAAAGACTTTCAATTGAAAAATGCTCTGAAAATGAGTCCATGTAGTTTTAAGGAGTGAAGCCTTATAAAGAGAATATTAAGTGTTTTTTGGCCTTATATAATGGAATTTACGCTTCCATCATGAGGAGCTCTTACTTAAGTATTTTACGGACACCGCCAGTGCGCCCCAACCAATATTGAGCAACGAAACCATGTATTACGAACGAGGTACTGAGTTTGATTCCTTCTGTAATTCATCCTATGAATTATGTATCAGTTCATTTTATCATTTACAATTTTAGTGCGATTTTGATATTTGATATCAGAAGAATTGATAGCAGACACATCTGAAAAAAAATTTACCAGTGATAACGATTTCTTTTTCTTTTAAGCACCAACGATTAAATTTTCCTCTGATTTTAAAGAAGGCGCTAAATTGTAATAATAATGATATGTAAAAGAAAACCTGTCAAAGCGCGTAAATCCTGAATGAAAGCAAACCAGGAGCTGTTTTGGGAGTCGCACACGACGGTTGAATTTGCAGCTGCTAAACCTTGCAGGTCTCAAATTGCGTAGCCAAACTCCCCATTCAACTCTAGGTCCTTCAAATAGATTTATTTACTCGTTTTTCAACTCAGTCATTTATTCTTCCGCTTTGATCGACATACGTTTCGGTACTTCAAGCTGTTACCTTTTCTAAGCTTCTCAAAGTACTTAAGATGTCTACACATTTCCGACAGTGTTATTAAATTTCGTTAAAACATTGAGAATGATTGACTTTTGCTTCAGACTTTTTTTTGCCTTGTGAATATTTTTTTAATAACAATTGGTATTTTAGACGGATTAATTAAAATCGAATTTTTTTCGATTGATTTGATAGAGTCGGAAAGCCTTTTAAGCACTCTTGGGGAAAAAAGATGGCGAGGGAAACATTTTCAAGATTGTCACGTTTATCGTAAATATAGACACCCGCTCCACTTCAATCACGAACTGTCGTAAAAACTGACCTAAAACTAAAATCGTGACCAGCAAAAAAAGTCCAAAGCACTTTATCTTTTAAGGACAATAACAGCTAAACCTCAATTCTCAAGTGTAAACAAAGACATGTATTATCAAAGTTTGCCATGACTGTTTCCTTTTATTGCTCAATTTCGAGATAGAGTAATAAAGGCAGTTTACCTTATTTACCTGCATTTAATCTCATAGCTCCATAGGTGTTCTTACCCCATCAAATATATTATATCTCTGTGTAAGAAAAATAATTTAACAGAACTATAAGAAATACTCCCGCCAGTTGTTATTGCGTGCTGCCGACCGAGTCAGTTGGCTGGCTCGTCACATTGTCCAAAGATCGTTAAAGATCTCTATTGCTTTCAACAGACAGCACTTAAAAATCCGAAGCGAAACAGCATAGCATTGACCCACTGGATTGCAGTTTGCACGGAATCACTCAATCGCGGCTGTTTGCAATAAGCTGTGCCATGGTTTGTAAATCTTAAAAATAGTAGCGTACATTTTTCAAAAGTGACAAATGGAAACCTTGTTTACTTTCATCATCTCCTTTTCTAGAATTCATCCTAACGTCTGTTGCCTTAGTTTTCCTTCGCAGACTTAGGCCTAGTTTATACGTCGCGCTACAGTCGAATTTAATTTAGACGAATTTAATTCAAGGTCCCACAAGCAATTAAATTCGACGATAGCGCGACGTCTAAACGAATTAAATTCATCTGGTAAATTAAATTCGTCCTTGACGTTTTATCCGTCTTGGTAAGACAGATAAAATATCGATAACGCGTCTTCAGTTTTTACGTCGCATTAGCTTCGCGTCGAATGAAATGCATACATTTTCTTAAAGTATTTCAACCGCGCCATGCTTGTTTCAAAATGACACCTCTGACCAGAAACACTGCATTTGGGAAGAGAATTAAATTCGATCGTATTGATTTCGACGCAATAAACCACGCCAAGATTTACGTCGACGGAACGACGAATTTAATGGAAATTCGTCTGAATTAAATTCGACTGTAGCGCGACATATAAACGAGGCCTCAGTCGTGACCTCCATAGTTAAATGAAGTGACAGCCTTTTGCGAATCTTGAAATTTTAGCCCAAATATTTCTATGTTCGTCATCTGCAGTCCGTTATAATCTTCCTAGTCCTTGGCTACCCTTGTTATCATAATTACTACTTCTATTATCATTCGCTTATTTCGTTGCCTCTTTTAATGATAAATACTCAAAACTTTTCTTGGGTCTCCTTTAAATGAAAGGTACTCACGTACTTAGGCCTTTCGCAAAATGATTTCTAGCTAATGTAAAGCGCTGTCCCTCCAAGAAGTGACCTGAACGAAGATTTTTTCTTTCAATATCAGAATATTTTTAGGCAGAAAAATGATTAGCAGAAGGCAAAAATATCAAGTGGTGGATATTGTTTGACTTTATTTATTCTCTGGGATTTTTGAAAAGTGTAAGAAACATGACAAACACCGTATAGAGCTGATGTACAGACGCTGGAACTAAAAGGGTTACAGAAAAATTTCCAAGAGTTAAGGACGAAGGGCTAACGCTCGAAACGTCAGCTTATTAACTCTTTACAGTGGCCAATGTACAATTTCAACTTAGTTGACATAACCAAATGACAAATTCCCAAGGTTGGCACACAGCAACCAGTTTTGCCGAGCGGCTATCAGATATCAAAGAAGCTACTGCAAGTAGTTTGGATTAATTTTCACTAAGCTAGAAAAGATGCACAGTTGCTCTCAGATTTCTACACACTAAAAGATGAAAATATACTGGGCAGCGGGGAAAGTCAGTCGTTATGAATCTCAAGAATATCCTTAGAAACATGGAAAGAACATCGCATTTTAATTCTGCTCTCAGCGCTGATAGCTCAACATAGCGATCGACCCAGTATTACCCCACAGCACGAGGTTTCCTTTCGGAATGGTATACCTTTTTTTCTTATTTAAAAGTGACTTTGGTTTTCGTTTTGTAGTAAACCTTCATAACACAGATTGTCTTGTGAACTGAGCATATCAATCGAGTGTTGCCGCGGCCATTTTGCTAATGTTTAATGTTTAACACTTCCCACTTTTAATCTACATGTTTCTATTAAATCTTTCTTTGCAGGATTTGATTAACAGTAACATCTAGCCGAACACTGGCCAAGCACTGGTATTTCCAGAGATGAACCAAACTGCGAATTCATCCAACTATCTGACCAAAATCTCGCAACTGGAGCTGACCATAACGGTCAGTCTCTACGCTGTGTTATTGTTAATTGTTATAACTGCTAATGGACTCGTTCTCTCCGCGTTCTTAATAAACAAACATCTTCGCACGGCCACAAACACACTAGTAATGGGATTGGCCGTCAGTGATATTCTTGTCGGGTTTGTCTCAATTCCCTGCTGGTTGCTCATTTTTACGTCGTACCACGAGCATTCCACGACCACCCAAACAACATATACTTTCTACATTACGTTTGACATTTTCATCGGAGGAGCTTCCATTCTGCAGTTAACAGCTCTGAGTGTCGAGCGTTGTCACGCAATCGTCCGCCCATTACGTCATAGAACTCTGTCCATAAAAGTTTTCTACGTCATGATCGCTATACCATGGTTATACGCCGCCATTATTGCAAGTTTACAACCCGTGCAGTTTGCCGGTGATTGGCAAGACGTTTACACACTTCTCGTGGCTTTCACGTGCTTTATCATCCCTTTTGTCGTCATTTTCTTCGCTTATTTATTCATCTATCGTTTTGCTCGTAACCAGCCCGGAAAAAGGAGTATTTGCCAGCACCGTGCAGTGAGGCAAGCTTACAAAAAAGACCTAAAGCTATCTGTCACACTAGCACTCATTACAGGACTCTTTGTTGCAGCTTGGCTGCCTCTTTTTGTCGTTACCATGATTGGTACGTATTACCCACAACACCTTCCGCTCTCAACTCGTACTTACCGCGTGACTCAGCTCGTCAAATTTTGTCACTATGGCAACAGCGCGCTAAACCCAGTCGTGTATGCCTTTAGGAATAGTGAGATGATCGCCACATTCCGTTACATTGCACGTGCCTTGCTTTGTAAAGAACATCAGGTTCCAAGCCCGCTCAGTAGAACATCATCTTTGGGAAAATCGAGCTTACGAGGAAACTCATTCACTGGTAGTCTAAGGAGGTCTTCGTTTAAAGGAGGAAGTCATAGAGAAAAGAGCCCATTAAAAAAGGAGGAGCTCGAGGGAGTCAACAACAGGCGCGAAAGAAAATGTGAGAGCTTGGTATTAATGTATTCCACCGTGTAGTTTAAAGAGCACGAATTATTATAACAAAAGATATTAACCCTTTCGCTGGCAGGTTCCTGGGGACTCAATATTTTTCTATGACGTAAGGCGACAAATCCGGCCTCAGCTCATCACATTTTAAGTTCAACCCCAACAAACTATAGATCATTTTAATCAGCAGAAAATTTACCCTCATTTTAAGATTATTTTGTTACATGTGGGTCCTTGTGCACATAATTTGAGACAAGAAAAGCATGGCATAACAAAATGTTTGAAGAGTATGTTGTTTTTCCTGCTCTACTAAGACAAGGCATCAACATACTTGTGAGCATAACTTTTATATTATGCAAAAGTGTATTATTTCAGGAACCAAACACTTTTTATTTCATTCAATTATCTTCATTGCAACCAAAGTTATGCCTTTTACTGTTCATCAAGGTGCGCTTCGCAATTTTCAAAAATTAGAGGATATGTGATATTGCAGAACTATACTTGAGTAACAACTAGCTAGCTTCACTTGAAATCACCAAAAAACTAACCACAAATGACACAAAGAACCATAAATGGACAATAAGGTAAAAATGGTTCTGTTCTGTTCTTATAAAAAAAAATTACAATCCATAGCAACCTTCAGGAGTGTAGGCACAGGAAAAAATGCAGTATGAAATACTTGACGTACATTCAAAGATACAGTTCACAAGTCTAAATAAGTGTCCTTTTCCCTCAAAAGAAACTTCGTTAGGATCGTCCTCTAAAACAATTCGCCGTGCCTCCTCGAGTGGAATCCATGCAGACGCCATATTTAAAAGGATAGTACTGCGTGAGCAAATTTTTTTCGCCAAAAACCGGTCAAATTTAGCTATAAACAGCGAGAAATACGGCTACGAATGAAGGAACGTGACTTGACAAACCATAATAATGCTTACGAACTCAAAACAATACTATCTGGGGGTCCCCTGAGGTTTTTAGTATGGATAGTTACAGAGCGTACGAATTCATACGTTTGCCAGCGAAACAAGTTGATCTAGAGCTTCAAAACTGCTGTACATCGATCGATGTCTTGAGCAAAACTGGCCCCCTAAGTTTTATTCAGTGCTGATTAAAAATAAAACACCTTTGAAGGACTATCAAACGGAACGATAGCTTCGTACATTTGAGGAAAATATACATTCTTAGATTAGGTGAAAAACATGTCAAAATTTTAAAGTTAATATCATTTTAAAGATAAATTAGTACATAGCATAGAAAATTCAGAGATGTTTAGTATTTTTAATTTAACGTTTTTTTTACCGTGGAAAAATGGTGGAGCATTCCTAGCAGAACAATTGAATGACAGATGGGCTCATATCATCCTTATATGCTCAATATATATAAGCAAAATATACAATTGTCATGGTAACATTGTAAGATTACATAAGATTTACATCATATTAAAGCTAAGAAACACCACTTTGTATACAATTTAAGAGAATCTTGAGTACTATTTGACTTAAATAGGTCTTTAAACTGCCGCACACAGCTGTTTCGAGAGGGGTTATCGGCAAAAAAATCACACATCTACACGAAGCTGCCCCGAAAGGTATTGTAGGCAGTTTTCAGGTCGCGGTTCCTTGACCTCAGAATTTCAGGGAGATCTGAGAAAACATCACCGTAAGGACGAGGCTAGTCTCGTTCTCAGACGCTCCGCGGCCAAGCAATAGGATCTGGGTTTGAGATTAGGAAGAGGTAGTCCTGAGGTAAATCTGAGCGTTCTGATTGGTTCTTACCTGGTCCGTAGTTTGCCATATGGACCGTTTCCTCTGAAACAGTTTTAAGCCGTGTATTTTTGGTCGCGAAAGCTGGCAAATTTAAAATAAACAAGTTTGGTCCGAGTGCCATATAACATTGCATCTCTTAACCGCCCCCTGGTTAGCTCATGTTGTAGAGCGCCGAACTGCCGTTCGGGAGGTCGAGGGTTCGAGCCCCAGACCGGACCGACACTCGGGGTCTTAATATAACTGAGAAGAATTTACTGTCTTTGCTAGGACATATGCAAATGGTTAGACATTCTAGTCTTCTCGGATAAGGACAAAAACCCGTGGGCCCCGTTCCTGCATCTTCCCTTTACTGGTGAGCAGGAACGTTAAAGAACCCACATACTTATCGCAAAGAGTAAGGAACGTAGCCCCGGGCGTTGTTGTCTGGCCTTGTCATTGTTTACACAGGCCCCCATTTAAACCATCTTTGAGCTAAACTGGGCCAGCCTGTCTAAATATCGCAAATAAGTACATACATACATACATACATTAGTCATTTTCTCGCGTGCAAAATTGTAGCGTTCTACGTAATTTGAATTTATGAACAATTTCAACACATTAATTTGTTTGTTCCTTTTTATCGTCATTCCCTTTACTTTGTAAATCTAGAAGAATTACTAAAAGTTTTATTCCAAGTTACATGAAATGTTTGAAGAACTTGCTCCGTTTCCGTGTCTTTACTGCTCCTCTCAAAACTCTCACAGAAAAATGATGACGCCATCTCTCTTTCCCGCCAAAATGACGTGCGCAGCACGCGTGCACTCTACGCGACTTTACTATTGCGTAACAAAAATCTACTTCTGCGCGATTAAAAATGAACGAATAAGAAACCCTACCGCAGTAAGGCGTGTTGAAAGGTTGAAAAAAGTGAGATTTGACTGTTAGGCGTCGCAATGACCATTATCGTCTTGATAGCGAAAAAAATTACATTATCTTTGCATCTGAAGATACTTGCAAGGTCTACGGTAGACTTCGTCACAGCTTTGATGAAGGTGAGTGGAGATGCTTGAAAGCTCTTCCAAAATGCCGGCTGCAACAATGGATATCAGGATGACGACGACAACGGTAACTAAGACGAGGCAAAACAGAAGATCTAATGGACAGAACAATAACCCAGGAGGTGTATTTTAAAACTTTGTACATTTCTTAGCCGTCCTCTGCAAAACAACGTGAAATCACCAAAATTTGCGTGGTCTGAGAACGGAAACTTCGGAGTCAAACTATGCAATTTTTCATTTGGAACTCATCACTGCTTATTTACGTTTGTATATCGAAGAAGAGGCGTAGCGCCGTAAGAGACGGTATACACATCCAGGCATTCGTGAAATTGTAATTAAAAAACAACAAACTATAAATTCGTCTTCGCGTTTTCGTCCTGACTTGTTAAGGTTTCTAAACATGCATGTCACGCAAGGAAGTGGTTGATTTGTTCCTTTAAATCTTAATAGAAGCCGATGGTTGTCCTCGGTATTTAAATCAAGGAAAACGTGGTTCCTTGGACAGAGCTCTGGAAGTGTGGTCTTTACTATAAATTTATAAAACGAAGCAACAGAGAAACTAGATGGACCTCATTGAAAAACACCAAGCTTTAACTTATGGATCAAAAATGAGCTAACTGCATTATCAATAATTAATTGGCCCTGCCTCAGCTATAAATCCATTAGAATTACCATAGAAATGTTAGGGAGATTTGACACACCACTCTTTGTAATGGCGGACAAATCGACACAAAAGCCGTGTGTCTATCAGGATAAAGACTGTTCTATTGAGGGGATTGTCATTAGAAGCCGGTTGGCAACGGAAACCCGCCGGCTGTCAGACTATTTTGCGCCAGCTTCTGCGTGAATTTTGATCAAAGACCGAAAATAAGTATTTTAGAACTGATTCTAACGATAATGTCTGGCAAGAGATATTATGTTTATAGTCTCTTGCGTCTGGCCAAAAAAAATTATTAACATATACTCCTGAATGCTGGAAATCAGGTTCTGAGAGTTTCAAATTTCCTTTTCTTTTTCCAGGGCAGCATGACCCCCGGCAACACACCATGCTGGTTACATCAATATAATCCAATTCAGCCGGCTACTCATTTCCTAACTCTAAATTCATTTCAGGGTGTTTCTCCTAAATCGTTTTAAGGAGGTACTCCCATTGCCAGTTTGGACACTGTTTCTTACCAGCCCCTATTATTACAAAGAGTTCGCCTCATCAAAGGCAACAAGATCGCATCCACCCTTAAAAGTTTGCCCTAAAATCTTCAACTTGCCTCCTTACAGCAACATTTCTTTCTTTTCGGAAAAAATAAAGACTAATTCCATAACATGTAAATGTCTCGCTCGGAATAAAACGTTGGACTGGAAAAGCTGACTTCTTCGACAAATTCTTTACACCTCACTGTTTCCTTTTATCTTAGAAAGTGCAACAGCTGAAGCGTTGTTAGGTCTGTGAGGAGATGATTGGACCAGATCCTGTCGAGAGACAGCACTGGGGAAGAAAACTCGAAGGCAATTTCTGAATTACGTTCGGCCTCTTTTTCAAAACGAGGCCTGGTGCTCAACGATACGTATGAAAATGAGTTTACTTTGCATGTGAATGAAAAAATTATTACCATAGGAAAGGATGAGCACCAGGAATCGCTTTGAAAAACAGGCTAAAGGCAATTCGGAAATGGGCCATTTCTCTTTGCTTGTATCGGGTTCGCGGTGGGCTATGGGAACTTCTGGCGATTTCCTTACATGAGCTTTAGAAATTATGGAGGTATGACTTAATGAAAACCTGACTCCGTAATCGCTGCAGGTTTTTTCACCCTGACATCAGTATGCATATTCTCCATACCGTTCTGTGTACATTTCCTAAAGTGCTGACAAGGAGAGTTTATGTAACAATCATGAGCAACTGTAGTTGGTGATCATTTTCCTTATTCTCATGACCTTGATTTGTGATTCAGAGGTAACATTGTAAGGAGAAGATAGTTGCTTAGCTGGTTACTCCGAGGGGTCAAAAGGTTAAGTCATCGTTGTAAGTTCTTGAAGGGATTTAGATCAGTTTCAATACACACAAAGTATTAGTTATTATACTATAAAGAGTATCTCGTGTATTTTTAAATAATCATATTTTCAATGAGAGCGGAAAAACCACTAACGCTCCTCTGGAAGTACGCACTGCGTTCTGATGAGTCTGTCAGAATGTATTGCATTGCTGTGGTAACCTCGTTTCCACGGTCCTCTTTTCATCCCTAAGAACAAGGTTCCAAGGTAGAATGACTTAATTAATACCATTGGCGAAACGATTGTCGTTTATTTCTGTATGTTTTTTTCTAATTCTCGTCTATTTATTCATTCATTCGTTTTTCCTTGTATGGTAGCTTGATTTTAATCTAACAATTAGAACTTAGAAAACGATTTATCTTTACGATTTAGGTGCTTTTCTTATTCCGTACTTTTGTTTTCTTCTCCTTGGGGGGTATCCCCTTCTTCATGGAACTCAGCATTGGACAGAGTCTGCAGGCGGGGCCTCAAGCGTGGGAAAAAATCTCCCCTCTCTTTTCAGGTGAGGGCATGAGGAATGGTGCTCGCGCATTGTTGGTAAATGGCGTTTTGGAGGCATACTATTATCTTCTCCGATCGTTCCGATGACGACTTCTGTTCAAAATATTCAAATGATTATCATCAACAATATTTTTTAATCCAACATCCAAACCATGCATCTAGCTGAACACAATCTTTAATACCATTTTTTTCTCTATTAATTTCATTTCTTCCTTCCAACTTAAAGATCATATTAGAGCCCTCTCCCAAACAAAATCTGCTTTATTGTTTCTGTGGTGTCGTTGCTGCTTTACTGACAACAGCGATAACTTAGCGAATTACTCTCTTCAATCATTTGTGATAAAATAACATTATGTGATACGCTGAATTCTGGGAAAATTTTGATTGGTTCTTAAGATCTATTGGAGTACAGACGCATGAAAGACGTTGAATGAATTCTATTTTGACGTGAAGGGTGCTATAGGTTTATATTTTGGCGGGAACAACGCCGTCCTCGCCCCAGTCTCTTTTGTCCACCGAAGTCGCCGTCGCTATGAAAACTCTCGGTGCTAAAGGTCCCTTATTACTGAACAGACACACGGCAGCATAGAATCTATCTGTTAAATTGACAATTGCTCTCGACCAATATTTGCGCGCGAGAATATTCAAAAATTATTCACCGACGCCGTTGGAGGTGAATAACGAAGTGACGAGATAAATATCCAGTGCTTTCATCGACACTGAGGTGGAAAATTGCATTTACTCAGTGTGCCACCCAGATACCGAAAAATAAGTTTATTTCTTTCAATATACCGAAAAATGGTCGGAAATTAAACTATTGCCGCGCGATTTTGCCTCATCGGCTGCTCGGAGGTGAATAGCACTTGTTATTCACTTCCTAACAAGCCAATCGCGAGAAGCTCTATTCACTTATGTGGTGTACAATAATATATTTATTCTATCTCAGGTGTTGATATTGCTAGGGCGGCCGTGCCATTTTTGGTGTCTATATATTACAATGTCATCCCCGCCTGGAGTATCTATTATCTTTATAACTCCGATTTAAGCCTGACATCCACTGGGTGTCACCATACCTGGAATATGGACAGC